TTTGAAACTGTCTCATTGCTATTTGTTTCTCAATAAAATTATGGAAAAAAAAAAAAAGAAAGAAATAACTAAAATGTTTGAACCAGTAATTAGGCCCTTGCACTTGCCAGGGAAGCGCTTATTCCACTGAGCCATCTCCCTGGTCCCCCAAATATATTTAAAAAAAAAAATTAAAATTTACTACACACACACACACACACACACACACACACACATGTTATAAGAAAAAGATGGAACACAAAGAGGACCAAAAGAAAAATCATTTGAGATATAAAATGCTATAAAAATTTTTCTTCTAGGCTGTCAATGTATAGACCTTCTACTTCCAATGAAAAACAAAACACAAGTAAAAGATCAAAAGATGACCAGTCAGAAAAACAATGTTGTAACTAAATTCCCTTTATGGCAATGATACACCATCTGATTAATTCCCACAGCAACTCAAAATACAGCTACTAATCCTCCCTTTCAAAAACTCTCATTTTAGGGGCCAGCCAAATAGCTCAGTGAATTAAAGCACCTGCAAGTAGGTGCAGGGGCTGGGGGTACAATCCCCAGGCCTGCATGCAGGCCCTGCCCCTGGGGCATGCTGAGACAGCAACTGAGACTGGGTGTGGTGGTGCACACCTCTAATCCCAGCTCTTGGGAGGCTGTAAACAGGTGGATCACTAAATCTGATCTAGTAGTGAGACCCTGAGCGCCCTGTAGACCCTTCCCTAAAATACAAAAAAAAAAAAAAGAAAAAGAAAAAGAAAAACCATCTCATTTTATATAAGTTTAAAAAAAATTTAGAGAGGTCAAGCTGGGAATTACAATTTACTCTGGACTAGGATTCTTTTTTTTTTATCTTTTTGAGACAGGGTCCCACTATGCAGTTCAGGCTGCCTTGAGCTCACTTTGCAGCCCAGCCACTTGCAAACTGGCAAGTGACCCTGCCTCAGTCTCGCAAGGACCAGGTCTGCAGGCATGCGCCCCCATGTGGACTAGGATTGGAATCAGACTTTTCCTCTATGCTTTTACTGCCATACTGTTGCTTTTAATAAATGAAACATTCAGCCCAGGCCTGGTGGGACCTTTTTTTCCCTTTTTCTTTAAACTTATTGAAACAATGTCTCACTAAATTGGTAAATTGCTGCCTAGGCTGGGCTCAAGCTTTTCTCTCCTCCTGCCTCAGGCTCCCACAGTGATATCACTTCAAGCTAAAAATTTTAAATTTTGTTTTGTGAGGCAGGGTCTTGCTATGTAGTTAAGGCTGACCTTGAACTCTCGTTGATCTGCCTGCCTCAGCCTACTGAGTGCTGGGGCTGTGGGTGTGTGCACCATGCCTGTATTACAAATTATGGATTGGCATAATTTCTGTTAATAGTCTAATTTCTAAATTTCTTTTACTTGATAGAAAATCAAGAAATGGGGGCCAGGGAGATGGCTCAGTGGAATAAGTGCTTCTCTGGCAAGCACAAGGGCCCAAGTTCAATCCCCGGTTCCACCAAAAAAAAAAAAAAAGAAAGAAAAAAAATTAAGAACTGACACATCTCACTAAACCAAAAAAAACCATTTATTTATTTATTTAGGCCTATCAGAATCTTTTAGGAACAAACACTAATATGAAGGGGATCTGACTTTATTTACTGGTCTTTTAGAGACAAGGTCTTGCTACGCAGTTCAGGCTGGCCTAGAACTCACAGAGCTCCTCCTGCCTCAGCCTCCTGAGTGCTGGCTGGGGGCACAGGTGCAAGCCACCATGTCCAGACTGGATCTAACTTTATAATTTTGTTCAATTTTTTCTTGGCACTGGGATTCAACCAAAGGCCTTCATACCAGCCCATATACTCAGCCCCTTTTATATATTTTGAGTCAAGGTCTCTCGCTAAATCAAGTTGTCCAGTCTGGGCTCACTCTGTTGATCCTCCTGCCTTAGCCCCAGGGCAGGGATCTTACCCACACGCTGGCCGCTGCACTTCATCCCAGTTACCTCACAGACATAAACTTTCTTTCAGTTTTTGAGAAAGGAAAACAAGAACTCAGTGGGTGAAATAAACCTGCCAGCGCAGTAGAAGCAGCGTGAAGCACAGCATTCACGCAGCCCGCCTTCTCTTCCGATGATACCCATGCTCCCCAAGCCCCCTTTTTATTAATGTATCTTGTGCAGGGTCTCACTACACAGTGCAGACGCATAGTGATCCTGTTTTCAGCCTCCCCGGCACTGGCGTGCACCACCACCCCGGACTCAGTGGCTGGCTCTGCGCACCGGGGCCCGCGCAGCATGCATGCTGGCGATCGAACCCCAATCCCTGCATCTGCCTAACTCTCTCGCCAGCCCTAAAACAGATTTTTTTTTTTTTTTTTCCCCGGCACTGGGGATTGAACTTGGGATTCTTGCTCTGGCTAGGCAGGCACCTGTGTGCTGAGCTATATTCCCAGCCCACGCTCCTTTATACGTGAGCGACACTTACTTCTCTGGCAGCACAACAGAAACGTCATAATCTGTTGGAGTCAGACATCGAACTTCAGAGTAGACCCGATCTCTAAATCCTGGGAAAAGGGAGTTTCCGCCAGTCAAAACGATGTTCTTAAAAAAATGTGGCTGCATTTCTTTAAAAGAAAAAGAAAAAAAAGCATCAGGAAATCTGGTTACTTATCTTTCTGGAAAGGCACAGATAGGGCATAGGTAAGATATGATTGTGGATTACAGTCCTGAGTTGAGAAACCATAAGTTCTTGGTCAATTGTAAAGTGTGTAATGAGGTTATAGTTTACACAAATAGAAATTAAACAGCAAAATATGACCTAACAGATTTAAAAGAAAAAGCTAAGATGAGGGCGGATGAACCAACGACCTCCACACAAGGGAGCTACACACACGCACATTCTGCAGCAGACATCGGCTCCCTCTTTTTTTTTAAAATTTTTTTAAGAATTATTTATTTATTTATTCATTTATTTTGTGTGTGTGGCCAGCTCAGCCCACCAGGGGGCGGGGCTGGCTGGCATGTGGTGGGGGGGATTGAACCGCGGTCCCTGTGTTTTGCTTAGCTTAGCTTGTTCTAAGTAGGTGCTTTAGACCACTGAGCCATCTCACCAGCCCCTCCCTCTTATCCTTCTTCCCCAAAGTGGAGAGCGTCTCCTGTGGGTGAGACTAGAAGCTACTCAAGATGGAAAGGTCTTTTGTGATATTTCTTAACTTGCAAGCCCAAATTTCCATCTTATCTATGACAGATACATTTATTGTTCAGAATTTATCTTTATTTTTATTCTCTTAATTAAGGGTGCTTTTTTTTTTTTTTTTGGATTTGTTAGTACAGGATCTACGGGGTCTTACTATACAGATCACAGTCGTAGTGATCTTCCTATTTTCAGCCTCCTGAGAAGTGGGATTACAGGCACGCACCACCAAGCCCAGTCTCAGAATTTAGCTTTGACAGCAAAATACCCCACAATCTATAATGACATGTAAAGAAAAAAATCAAACTGGGCATGGTGGCTCATGCCTGTAATCCCAGCACTTGGGAGGCTGAAGCAGGAGGATTGCCATGAGTTTGAGACCAGCCTGAGCTACACAGTGAGTTCAAGATCAGCATGAACTACATAGTGAGACCCCATCTTAACCAGCCAACTAACTAAACAAACAAAGAAAAACAACTACAAAAAAGGAAAGATTCCAAGTGTAAATAGTCATTAAACTACATGACGGCCAATACAAAGTGCTGTCAGGTTAGCAAGTAAAACCCCACTGGAAAATCCAGCAGGGAGGAATGGGGGCTGGGTAAGTCGTGTAGGGCTTCTGTCCACTGAAACACTGAAGACTCGCGACACAGTACTAAGCAGCACAGTACACAGGCTGCACATGTTGTGATCACAATTTTATATAAAATGTGAAATCTTGAGAATAGTTGCAAATGTTAACATGATAGCACTTATGTGACTTTTTCTTCCTAATAAGGAAAATACACTGTATACGCATGTGCTAGGTAGTCTTCAATGCCCAGTCTGTTCCTAATGAAGCAGGAAGACTAGAAAAGTGCCATGAAATTTAGGATATTTACTTAACTCATGCTCCAGGAGAGATTACCCTGAAGCACCGTAGCTTGGTCTCATTAAAACCAACCTTGTATGTCAGTCCAAATGCATAACACAGAATAAGCCAATCCCATTAGTATCTGAAAACCATTATGTTGTAAGTTTCTGAGCTGTGTAGATTTTGGTCCAAATTTTTTTTTTGTTTGTTTTGAGACGGTTTCTGTGTAGCCCAGGTCACCCTCCTGCCTCAGGCTCCTGAATACTGGGATTACAGCTTGCGCCACCACACCTGGCATGGCTAAAGCTTGGGTTTGAGGCTGATCTGAACTACACAGTGAGATCCTGTATTTAGAAAGAAAAACATACTTCCTTTTTTTTTTTTTTTAAGCAGAACCGGGGATTGAACTCAGGCCGTTGCGCTTGCCAGGGAAGTGCTTATTCCACTGAGCCATCTTCCCGGCCCCAAGAAAAACATGCTTCTAAGATGAATACAGCAACTGAATACTCAGAAAGATAAATTTCTTCGTGTTTAAATAGCCTAGGGGCCAGGGAGATGGCTCAGTAGAATAAGCACTTGCCTGGCAAGTGCAAGAGCCTGAGTTCAATCCCTGGTTCCACCAAAAAAATAAATAAAAATAAATAGCCCAAGATACTTTACTGAAATAAAATTCACAATCCAAGACTAATCAATAGGAATTATTCAAGGGTATTAAGGGAACTACAGATGCTATTTGACTGAAATCGCTTAGAAGAAACACTGTTCTTTGAACTCATGATTTTTGAAAATATCATGCTTCTTCAATATTGTATCATAACTGATAGATACGGATGTACCTTCAGGTAGGTTTTGAATGGAGTAGACAATGGCTTCTGGAATCCCCATCTCCTGAATGCCTATGTCAGAAGGATTGAAGAGAATTTCCGGAACAGCGAATCTCTCATTGGCCAAGCGCAGAATTTGTTCCCCAGACTTGTATTTTCCACTCAAGACCATCTCTTCCCTTGGCTTAAAGAAAAATAAGAAAGTTAAGCTACATCATCTGCTTCACATGACTACTATTCATCAGAAGATGTAATGCATTATCTTGACCAAATTCTTGGAAATGTCTGGCTTCACAAAAGTTAGAAAAATACGGCCTTCCTTCCTGTTCACAGAATGACACACACAAATTATTGAGGGTAGCGGTCCCTGCAAATTAACCTAGCAGTTTTACTGTAGGCTTTTTTAAAAAAGCACATAGGAGGTGGAACTTCACCTTCAACATACCTCTAATGGAATACTGACTCAAATTTCTAGAGAAAAACACACTCTCCATAAAAACTTCCTATATCCTGTGCTCCTAACACTACTTTCATTCCCAACTTTAGATGTTTATTGGACATGTACCTCCATTCTATTAGGATTGCTTCTTTCCTTTGAGCGAAAAGCCCACCTCTTAGCTGGGCATGGTAACCCACACCTGTAATCCCAGCACTTTGGGAAGCTGAGGCAGGGAGATCTCAAATGTTAGCTCCGCCCGGGCAACCTGATGACTCAGTGAGAACCTATGGGGGTGAGGACACAGTTCATCTAAAGGTGCTGGGTTTAAGCCCCAGCACAGGGTGGGGGCAGATCAGTTTTCAAATGACTTAAGCAAACACACCATCTTTGACCCTGAAGCTACTGCAATGTCAACTCTGTATAAAGACTAAGTATGGCAAAGACAAACGGGAACCAAAGCTAATTCATGTTCTCCTTATTTACTTTCTGCTTACCAGCCCGTCTATGAGCTACATGCCTCAAGAGGCCAGGAAAAAAAACTAAGCAAAAACGCTCCCTCCACAATATTCTACACCACTCGGCGATTGTTACTTGTTTCATTTCACTTACAGATGCAGTTTTCTTCCCAAACAAAAGATAGCCTGTCCTTTCAATAAATATAAAACCACTTAGGGGTCTCGTTTCTCTGAGTGCCTGTGCTCTGCTCGAGTGCACCCTGAAATCCCTAATAAGCCCTGCTTCCGCCTCTGACAGGTCCTGAAAAGCCGTTCTGCACAATGGGAGTCAAAAGTGGGTTAAGTTTGTTATTTCAGCTTTGGGGATCATCTAGATCAGACCAGCAGGGACAAGTCCAAACACAGGGATTCATTATAGCTTTCTCTTTGCTCTTGGTTGTCTTTCAAATTTCCCTTGAAAAAATGAAAGTTAAAAGTATTTAACCAGAGCTCCAAAAAAAAGTATAAAAATACTTAAGATATATCAATTAGTAAAGAGTAATATATGTAAACAAATTATTGCTTCCTTACTGTAACCAGTTATCTTTAAAGCTCAGCTTCCTCGCAGAGGCTTCTTACTTCCAAGTAAAGGAAGTCTCCCATTGCCTACTATCACCCAAACTGCCACTGTCACACATCTACTACCTAGCGTAGCACACTACCTGATTGTGGTAGATATTCAATAAACTGTTTTTCTTTTGAGACAGGGTCTTGCTATATAGTTGGGGCTGGCCTTGAATTCAGTGTGATCTGCCTCAGCCTCCTGGGTTGTGCCATCACCAACAGCATCAGATAAATTCTTTTTTTTTTTTAAATTTTTATTTATGTGTGTGTGTGTGTGTGTGGCCTGCTCAGCCCACCAGGGGGCGGGCTGGCTGGCATGTGGTGCTGGGGGATCGAACCGCGGTCCCTGTGCTTTGCTGAGCTTGTTCTAAGTAGGTGCTTTGGACCACTGAGCCATCTCACCAGCCCCGATAAATTCTTGAATAATGGTGCACGTCCCTACAATGTGCCGTTCACCACATTAGGCATTTCACATCCAGCTGCCCACTGGACTCTCATGAGCCCTGTAACACAGGTATTTTATTTCTGTTTGCATGTTCATTTGGTTTCTCTGAGGCAAGGTCTTGCTATGTACTTCAGGCTGATCTTGAACTAAGTAGCCCAGGCTGGCCTCGATCTCATGACCCTCCTAGCCCAGCCGCCTGAGCGCTGGGATTACAGCTGTGTGCCTCTGCTCCCAGCTTTATTTTCCTTTCTGACTGTGCCCTGCAAGGTGACATGACTTCTCAGGAGCATTCTTATAATAGCCCAAAGCAAATGCACAACATTCCTTCCAAGCGCTGCCACTCTTAACCTGCTTGTGAAGGATCTGGATTTCTATCATTTGAAAACTCCATGCTCACATACTATTTTTAAATAAAAATTTTCTGGAAGTTATGCAACATTTTAAGAACGAAGAAAACTACAAATCCCTGTGGGCTTTTGAGACGGAGTCTTGCTCTGCAGTTGAGGCTGGCCTTGAGCTAATGCTACAGCCCAGACTGGTCTCCAACTCACAGTGATCCTCCTGCCTCAGTCTCTCCAGGTGCTGGGATTACAGGCATGCATCACCGCACCCAGCAATAAATCACTTTTAACCCAATTAAACGATTGGTGTAGTACCAAAAGTTTATAAACTCACACAGGAATTCTTTCTTCTTTGGCATAACAGAAAATATTTTCCACAAATTTACAAGTTCATTTAAAACCAAGACTGGTTTGAATTTAAGGGATATAAGTCAACACCCAATCTCAAACTGATACAGACTTGGAGACTTTCAGTTAACAAAATGTTAGAGGTCATCCAGTTTACAATTCTTGACTGTCAGGCGAGAACCATGTGACTGATCAAATATCTAAGGAGGATTTCTAGGTGCCCTTGTTAAAAATCAACACTAAAGCCAATAATTGTTAATATATAATCTGGCGCAAGCAGTTTTTCTCTCCCAGAGTCTAATTCCAAAGAGATTTTTTTTTTCTAGACACAGGTGGATGAAAGAATTTACAAGGGCTGTGGGAGTTGTTATTTTGGTCAGTGCAGGCTGGGATGATGCACAACCTCATAACCGACCTCCGGGACGCTCAGTCTAAGTTGCATGGGCTCCACAAACAGCAGTCATTACTAACAGTGAGGGTAGTTGCCCAACTTAGGTCAGACAAATGGACCATATGCTAGCAGGCATCCTTTCTGGTAACAGATAAAACTGGAACTTTTTTTTTTGAGACAGGGTCTCGCAATGCAGTTCAGGCTGGCCTTGAGCTCACATTACAGCCCAGGCTGGTCTCAAACTTGTCATAATCCTCCTGCCTTAGCCTCTTGAATGCTGGGAATAAAACTGGAACTTCTACCGGTTGTAAATACTTATGTCATTTCCATTATTATTATTAGCATCAGAACTAGAAAATTAAGGTTGCAATTTTTCCACAAGGAAAATTTTTTTTAGAACACTTGCACCATGCAGTCCAGGCTGACTCTGAACTCACCACACAGCCGGCTGGTCTCAGATTCTTTTGGCCCGGCCTCTTGAGTACTGGGATCAGAGGTGCCTGTCACTTTGTTTTCTTTTTGTTTTATTGAGGCAGGGTCTCACTGCGTAGTTCAAGTTGACCTTGGCCTCACTGTGCAGCCCTGGCTGGCCTTGAACTTGGGGTGATCCTCCTACTTCAGCCTCCTGAGCATTGGGATGACAGGCATGTACCTAGCTAGTTTCTTTTCTTTGTATTTAGGACATGGTCTACAGGGTCTACACAGATTGGACTCAGAGTGATCCTCCTGTTTTTCAGTCTCCCAAGTGCTGGGATTACAGGCGTGTGCTACCACACCTGGTCTCAATGGCAGGCTCAGCACGCCCAGGGGTGGGCCCGGTCCGGGCAACCCTGGTCCCTGAGCTTGCCCAGGCAGGTGCTTGCGCTGCTGAGCTATCTCGCTGGCTCTAAGGGAGGACTTTTTAATTTTGGTTTTGTGGGTATGCAGCATCCCAACCCAAGACCTCACAGTGAGCTACATTGCCAGCCCTTATTTTATTTTATGCACTTATTTATTTTGGCGGAACCAGGGATTGAACTCAGGCCCTTGTGCTTGCCAGGCAAGCTCTTATTCTACGGAGCCATCTCCCCGGCCCCCTTATTTTATTTTAGGTCAGGATTTTGCTAAATTTCCAAAGCTGGCTTCAAGCTTGCAATCCTGCCTTGGCCTTCTGAATTACTGGAATTACAGGCCTCTCAATGCCTCGTGGCAAGGACTGCTTGAATCAGATACAAAATAGGAAGATGTCAAATGTGTCTAATCAGATAAAGATTTAGTGTCTAAATGTTTGGGGCAGTTTTACTTGCTGAACTATGACTGCTATTTCATCCCTATAATCTGGCCAAAATAATTATCTAAACCGTGTATGCATCAATTAAGCTAATCCAATTTTACAAATAAACATTATTTTAAATTTGGTGTTTATCATTCACATACATAGTCTTACATATTTTATACTTATTGTTTACTTATACTTCATATTTATGTATTCCCAGGCAGCAGAAATTATTCTGTCCAGACTGAAAGCATAGCCGGGGAGATGGCTCAGTAGAATAAGCGCTTGCCTGGCAGACTGAAAGCATATACAGCTTTGTAAAACTTGCTACTAAATGTCTGTGGAAGCTGGATGTGTTGGCGCATGCCTTATCTCAGCACTTGGGAGGCTGAAGCAGGAGGATCACTTAGCATTCCAGAGCAGCCTGGGTGACAAAGGGAGCTCAAGGCCAGCCAAAGCTGCACAGCAAGACCCTGCTTCAAAAAGACCCCTCCCCCCCAGTGTAGAATGTATCCACAGTCATTTTCATTACTAATTAATTTATATATAAAAATCATTTATTCTCCTACTGTTAGGAGTAGCTGATCCCAATTTTTCAGTATTCTATAATGAACAGTATCATCAATGTCTCCTTATATTTCTAACTAAAGATTTCTAACTTCCTGTCTTTGGTAAGCCAGTAACTAGCAGGGCAAACTTCCTATTTATCCACAGAACGGGCTCTATTTCAGCTGATGAAAGGTAAGAAATTATTTTGACATCCAAGCACAGCTGTTTCTCAACACTTTGAACGTGCACTAGAAATTTGCCCTTTTCCTCTCCTTCCTTTGGCAGTGGTGCTACGAACTAAACTAGGGCCCTGTGCTGAGCCACAGCCCTGGCCCAGACTCTGCCCTTGGCAACTGTCATCTGATTCAATGGGACCGATCTTGAGTAAAGGTCAGTCGGGGGTCAGCTATGTCGGCAATGTTTACAATAGGAAAATAACCAGTTTCTGGTTAGATTTAGGCTATTTTTTTTTTTAATGTACTTAGTACAGGGTCTACAGGGTCTCATTACAAAGATCAAACTCATAGTGATCCTCCTGTTTTCAGCTTCCCAAGTGCTGGGGTTACAGGCACACCACCACGCCCAGTCTCGTTTGCGGTCTCAAGCGTGTCCCAGGGGTGGAGCCAGCAAGGCACACGGGATTGAACCCCCAAGTGCTTTAATCTGCTGAGCTATCAGCCTGCCCTTAGATTTAGGCTAATCCTGTTTTCTTTCTTTCTTTTTTTTTTTTTTTGGCTAATTCTTAAGTAAACTGAAAAGTTAATTATAACATAGGCAATGATTCTGTTTATTTCCAATATCTGTCCCACATGTTATCATGAGGCTTGTATTTTTTTCTGAATAATTTAGTGAAAATTTTACTAATAAAATTTAGTAACAAGGAAAAAAAAAAATTTAGTAACAAGGGCCGGGAAGATGGCTCAGTAGAATAAGCACTTGCCAGGGACGCAAGCTTGCCAGTGTTTCATTAAAAAAAAAAAAAAAAAAAAAAAAAAATTAGTAACAGTCACCAGGCAGGCAGTCATTAACCACTTTAAGCCTCTGCAAATTCCAGATGGACAGAAAATGCTTTTCAAATCTCACTGAGGTGGTCATTTGAAGACTTATTACTGAGGGGTGTTTTGCTTTGCTTTTTGTAGTACCGCGTATTGAGCCCTGGAATTTTACACTGCGCTGCGCTCCAGTCCTTTCTGTATTTTTTATTTTGAGACAGGCTCTTGGTAAACTGCCCCCAGATTGAATAGCTGTGCTCGGCCGGTGTGTGCCTGTAATCCCAGCACTTGGGAGGCTGAGGCAGAAGGATCACTGTAAGTGTAAGACCAGCCTGTGCTACAAAGTGAGCTCAAAGCCAGCGTGAGCTGCATAGAGACCCTGCTCAAAAAAAAAAAAAAAAAAAAAAAGTTGCCCAGGCTGGGCTTAACCTTGGAATCCTGCTGTAGCCATGCAGAGTGCTAGGATTTTAGGCATGCACCACCATATCCAGCAAGGACTTTTCAAATTACCTTGCAAAAGCCCTTTTTAATTGTACTGAAGTCAGGTAAAACATAGTCTACCATAACTGTATTGTCTTCTCCTTTTAACCTGTAAGCAAAACAAGAAATTTTGAGACATTTTAATTATTGGCAGCATTATCCAAAAGTCAACTTTTTAATTGTTAATTTACCCTTATACATACTTTGCAATATCCATGTCTCTGTAAAAATCCTGAGACACGTAGCACACATCTTCTTTCACTTGATTAATAACATGTGTCTCATCCATAACATGTAGCTGCCTAGCAGAAATAAGCATTATAAAATTTGAAATGGGAAAAAATAACTTAGAATTAAGATCTCAATTTTTTTTGGAATTAAATTTTTAGGTAACTGATTTCTTTTTTAATGTATTTGGTACAGGGTCTCACTACACAGCTCAGACCTACAGTGACCCCGTTTCAGTGTCCCCAGCACTGGGATTACAGGTGCGCACCACCATGCCCAATACTGGCGGCTGGCTCAGCATGCCTTGGGGCGGAGCTGGCGTGGCATATGATGCTGGGGATCGAAGCCCAGTCCTTGTGCTTGCCTAACCAAGTGCTTAGTCCACTGAGCTATCTTGCCAGCCTTTCAGATAGCTGATTTTTCAGACACCTGGGACTTATTTTGATTAATTTATCTTTTTGAGGCAGGGTCTCACTCCACAGCTCCTGCTGGCTTTAGCTGCGGTGATCGTCCTACTGCAGCCTCCTAAGCACTGGCACTGCAGGCACGTGCGGCCACGCCCAGCCCCAGCTAAGTTCTTCACTTTCATGATCATATTTACTTCTTAAATGCTTTATTAGTACATGTTTATAGTACACACTGATTACATCCATCATGGGGAGGTGGACCACGTATAGAATACCTCTAACTTTTTTTTTCACTTATTTTATCTCCATAATATTCCTCTATTCCAAACAGAATCTCACTATAATGTCTTAACTCTTTGAGATATCTTACCTGATTATAGAAGCATTATTTTTTTAATTTTAATTTTTTTAATTTTTTTATTTTTTTGCGGTACCGGGGATTGAACTCAGGCCCTTGCACTTGCCAGGTAAGCATTTATTCTACTGAGCTATCTCTCCGGCCCCTAGAAGCATTATTAATCAGCACACAGTGCCTAGCCCAGAGGCAATATTTAACTTTTGGTCGTGTTCTCTTTTTTTGGTCCCGGGGATTGCACTCAAGACCTTGCATTTGCCAGGCAGGCGCTTATGCCACTGAGCTATCTCCCCAGCAATGTTTAACTTTTGAATCTGATGACTAAGTCAAAGAAAACACGGGGGTGGGGCCGCATGGTGGCGCACGCCTATAGGCCCAGCACTAGGATGCTGAGGCAGGAGCATGGCCATGAGTTCCATATCAGTCTGGGTTACACAGTGAGTCAAGCACAGCGTAAACTATATAAAAAGACACTTTCTCCAAAAAAAAGGAAGCAAGTAATTGTGTAGTAAGACAGGCAAAGTGTTTACCATGGGCTCCATGTTCATTAAAGAAAAAAAAATATTACTGCTTTTTTTTCACTGCTTTCTTATGTAACATCTATTTCACCTTCACTAAAATATGCCACTGTACCATCAAAGAAAACTCCTACTGGGCTGGAGAGATGGCTCAGTGGTCTAAAGCACCTACTTGGAACAAGCTTAGCAAAGCACAGGGACCGCGGTTCGATCCCCCAGCACCACATGCCAGCCAGCCCCGCCCCCTGGTGGGCTGAGCTGGCCACACACACACACACACAATAAATGTTAAAATAAAAAAATAAAAAAAAAAAAGAAAACTGCTACTTAAGCTACAACACTTCTAAGACATCACTGATTGGAAGATTCTTCCTAATCTCAGAGATTAAAATCTAAAAGACACAGTAACTCATAGTGGATGAAGAGGTGCATTCTCATCTTCAGCTCTGATTATTTCATCACTTGCCCATTGTTGGTGACACCAGATAGCGACTAAGGGGTCTGGGGTACAGCTGAGCATTAGAGCACCTGCCTGGCAAGCACAAGGCCTAAGGTCCTGAGTTTGATTCCTGACACCAAAAAAAAAGAGTACCAAGTACCAAGACAGTGAATAATATTAGTTACTAAGTGTACTACCAAAATGTTCACCAGGGAAGTTTCTCCAAGTTATACCCCAATCAGCAGTTATAAGAGTGTCCATGTAAAACAGATACACCACTGTCCTCTGAAAATATTGTATTACTTCAGATTGTAAAAATGGCATTTTGACTGATATTTCCTCTACTGGGGAGAGCCAAGGGGAAGGGAATTCTGGTCTGTTTTGCTGACTTGTGTATTCCGAGATCCTAATAAGAAATATTTGCTAAATTGAATCTGTGATTACTATAAGATTTTAACATTTTGTAGGTTATCTACTTGGAAATTATCCATTTGTATTTTTTAAATTGTATGTAATTCCCTAAGGATTATTTATTTGTGCTGTTTCTGTTCTTTGTTCTTTTTTTTTTTTCCTTATTGGAACAAATGAGTTTATTTTTCTGGTAACATAGGAAAGAAAAGGTAGGAGAGCACAAGAAGACCAGTTGTTTTTATTTTTGAGTTAAGGTCTTGCTCTACAGTCCAGGCTGGCCTTGAGCCGTAGCAATCTTCCTACCTCAGCCTCCTGAGTGCTGGGATTACAGGTGTGCACAGCCAGGCCTGGCTTGACACACACTCCTGATAGGAAAAGGTACCAGCCTCGAGTGCGCCCTTCAGCTCTAGAACGTCCGCCCAAAACCCCTTAAAGACTGTTCCTTCGTTCAGTGCTACTGGGCTTTTCTTGCAGGGGCTCAGGCCACTGTGGGGGGGCAGGAAGAGGACCTCAGGAGGCCAGCTGCTCGCCTCCCGAGGTCCTCTTCTGCCTCCCATCTGCGGAGGTGGACATCAGGCATCCGGCTCGGAGTCCCACAGTGACGCACTGTGCTGCCAGTGCCCACAGCGGCAGGGTCCAGCGACCAAAGCTGAACCCCAGGATCACAGCCACGTCAGCCTTCCCGTTCAGGGCTCTGGCCACGTGAACACCCAGCCTCTAGCACGGTGGAGGCTCTCAGCTTGCTTCTCAGGTCTCTGTTCCCCTTAGTTTTGTGTTGACAATACAGAGGTTTCTAAACTCTCTGGAGTGGGCAGTGTAGGGATCATGCCAGGGCACTGACACTTTGCTACACCCCCAGCCTCGACCATCCAAAGTCAGTACTTCAAGAAACTGAGATTTAAGGATGCCATTTAAAGCCCAGCCTGCTGGCACAGGCATATAATCCCTGCACTTTGGAGGCTGAGGCAGGAAGACTGCCATGAGTTCGAGGTCAACCTATACTATATACTGAGTTCAAGGCCATTTTGAGCTACATAGCAAGACCGTGTCTCAAAAAAGAGGAAGGAAGCTGGGCACGGTAGCGCATGCCTGTAATTTCAGCACTCAGGAGGCTGACGCAGGAGGATCATTTCAAATTTGACACCAGCCTGGCTACAAAGTGAGATCAAAGCCTGCCTGAGCTGCATAGAAAGACCTTGTCTCAAAAAGGAAAAAGAAGAGAGGGGAACAGGGATATAGCTCAGTGGCACAGTATCTGCCTGGCAAGCTCAAGTTCCTGAGTCTGATTCTTAGTACTAAAAAACAAACAGATTTTTAAAATCATTTATTTAATTTAATTAATTAATTTATTTGGTACAAGGTCTCATTATGCAGCTCAGACTTGTAGGGATCCTCCTGTCTCAGCCTCCCCAGGGCTGGGATTTCAGATGTGTGCCACCACATCCAGTTTCAGTGGCTAACTTGGTGGCACAACATGTGGTACCAGGGAATCAAACCCAGGTCCTTGTTCTTGCCAGGCAAGTGCTTAAACCGCTGAGCTAACTCCCCAGGCCCAAACAAACAAATTTACTTAAATTTTTAAAGCCAACTATTAAAAGAAATGGCCAAAGTTAAATTCAGGAAGAGAAAGTTGGGAGACGGTTAAATGCACTAAATTTTTTCATCAAAAACATTAAAAAATAGTGGACTCTAATATTGGTTAATCAAGGAGAAGTATCACAGATTAGTATGGCTTACAGAGGTCGGAAACATAAACATAGGCACAATTCAAATACTGTACTCTGAGTAGTGTTCTGACAGAAAAGATCCTTTTTCCCTTTTAGACTCTTTGGCTTTATATGCATTTTAAAAAATTATTTTTTCATAGCACATGCATTTTTATAAGTTGATTGGATGTGGGAAAATAGTCTGGCTTTGCCTTCTTGGACTGTCACGAGAAGTGGGCTAATGTGCACTTGGTCAATGGGAAGGAAAAGGTGGGATGAGGAAAAAGACGAAAGAAAGAAGGGAACAGGGGATATTCAGGTATATGTGCGGGACAGTTTGGATAACTGTCCTGTTGATTTCTATTGGTCTTTTGAAAAGAGCAGTTAAGGCTTAAATTTTTTTTTCTTTTTATTCTTTTTTTTTTCCATTTGTGTATTTTGTACAGGAAAAGATTTTTAGTTTAAAGAGAAAAAAAGTAAAACAAAATTTCAAAACAAGGTAATGGAAGAGTAACAATAATTAATACATTGCATATTGTTATTTTTATATATTCAGTTTTATCACCCTATTCAATTGCAAGTCGCTTTGCAATTGAAACATTAGTAGTATTTATGAGGTTTTTTCTTTTTTCTTTTTTCTTTTTTTTGTACCAGAAACTGAAGTCAGGACAACTTGTGGTTGCCAGGCAGGTGCTTGTGCCACTGAGCTACATCCCAGTCCAGTATTTATGTTTTTAAGCAATAGTAAAGAATTGCGCTTTGTAGTTACAACTAAAAGTAAAAAGCAGAGGGCTAGCTAAATAGCTCAGCGGATTAAAGCACCTGCAAGCAGGCGCAGAGGTCAGGGGTTTGATCCCCAGGCCTGCCATGCCAGCCCCACTCCTGGGGCTTGCTGAGAGGGCAATTGAGACTGGGTGTGGTGGCGCATGCCTGTAATCCCAGCTCTTGGGAGGCTGTAAACAGGCAGATCACTATGAGTCCGATCTAGTAGTGAGACCCTGAACACCCCATAGAACCTTTCCTAAAATACAGAAAAAAAAATTGATGAAAGTAAAAAGTACAACTTTAATTCCTTTCTGCAGCTCACTCCTAGCATCCCGTCCTCCCAAACACTTGAGCGCGAGGTACCTGTAAGAGATGATCTCCTTCAGATGATTGGTCAGGAGCTTCCCTCCCACATTTATCCTGAAAGAGGAGAATTCAACTTTGGTTCAGTTACCACACACTTCATCCTAAGAAATAACGTGAAAACATGACATAAGGAAAGCAAGCTAAATCCAACTCACCGAATAATTGCTTCTTTTTTCTTTTTACTTCTACAATAAGGAACTATATGTGTAAAAGAATATCCACTGTCTACAATAATACAGCACAGTTCAGAAGGATTATCTCGGAAATACCTATGTGCACTGAGTGCCCCAGCTAGCAAGAAAAAAAGAGAAGATTTTAAGTAAAAAGTTTACCACTTAAGGAAATAGAGAAAACTAAAGCAAACAGAAAATTCTTGTTAATTATAACAAAAACCTTAAATGATAACATTCATTAACCGTTACGAGATCTTTAAAATGTTTAAACTGCTCAAACTTCACACATTTGTGGTAAACTTGAACAGACAAATTCATGATGAGCTGTTTGGTTTTTGCAATGCTGGGGACTAAGCTCAAGGCCTTCACACTGAGTCACACTTTTGACCTTTTTAAAATTTTTTATTTGAGACCAGTTCTTGCTAAGTGGCCCAGGAAGAGGCAAACCTGTGATCTTCCCGCCACAGCCTTGCAGGTACTGGGATGGGACCAGTTTTTAAAGGGCAACTTCATGGTTCCTACCAATTACAGTAGTGGCTCCTACCAATTAATTTTGCTGAGCATTTAGAGGTCAGGCTCCATGCTAAACGCTACAGAAGGAGTCCATATAATACAGTGCGTACTTTCACATTCACAGCAATGCTATTTCATAGATGGGGACCCTAAGGTACGCAAAGGGAAACCATGTACCCCAGCACACAATTAGGAGGGGGCAGAACCAGGGTTCAAGTAGGCAGTGTGACTTCAAAGCACGGTCTCTCGACTGGGACCACTGACGTTCTGGATAACGCCTTTGGGGAGCTTTCTTGCAGATCAGAAGTTGAGCGACACTGATAACCTCCACCTACTGTCTGTAGTATCCTCTAAGCGTAACAACTACAAATATCTCCAGATGTCACCAATGTCCCCAGGGAGGAAAATCACCTCTGGCCTAGCACATTCCTGAAGATTATGCTCTTAACTACTGCAGTAAACTGTTAATGCAATCCTGGCCTTGAACAACTTGTTTCTAGATATTTACTGAGTGTATTGAAAACTAAAGCTATTAATATTATTTAAAACATTAATAATGGCAAACACAAGCCAGGTATGGTGGCGCATGCCTGTAATCCTGGCACTTAGGAAGCTAAGGCAGGAAGATCACCACAAGTTTCAAGGCCAGCCTGGGCTATATAGTGAGTTCAAGGCCATTCTGAACCACACAATGAGACCCTGTCTCAAAAAAAAAAAAAAAGACAACAATAGCAAACACATGAATGAAAGAAAAGATGAGTAGCTAAGGCATTATAACCTTTGGGGTAGTATTATAAATATATCTAATTTCATTTAGGAGAATAAAAGACAGAGATCTGACTATGCAATTTCTAAAGGTCCACCTAGTTATTTAAATTCTACGTTTTGGGTTTTTTAAAATTTTTATTTATGGGGCTGGAGAGATGGCTCAGTGGTCTAAAGCACCTACTTAGAACAAGCTTGGCAAGGCATCAGGGACCACGGTTCAATCCCCCAGCACCACATGCCAGCCGGCCCCGCCCCCTGGTGGGCTGAGCTGGCCACACACACACCCCACACACTCTCTCTCTCTCTCTCTCTCTCTCTCTCTCTCTCTCTCTCAAATAATAAATAAAAAAAAAATTAAAAAAAAAAATAAAATTTTATTTATGTGTGTGTGGGTGTGGCCCGCTCAGCCCACCAGGGGGTGGGGCTGGCTGGCATGTGGTGCTGGGGATTGAACCGCAGTCCCTGTGCTTTGCTAAGCTTGTTCTAAGTAGGTGCTTTAGACCACTGAGCCATCTCACCAGCCCCAAATTCTATGTTTTATTGCTTTTAGACTTAAATAATTCCACTTAGCACTCAGGATTTTAAATTTCTTTACTACATTCATAATCATGTAATACAATTTCAATGAAAACTTTAACTTACCATTTACTCTCAATACGGCTTGAAACTGGTATTCTTCAAATAGAATTTCATTCATTGATTCTTGAATTGAAGTGAAGTTAAAATACGGTTCTGTGATAATAATATTAGTATCTAAAAAATCAACCTAAGGAAAAAAAATCCCTCAAAGTTTGATAATTTGTAGTGGCTGTCATTAACACTTGTTTTATGCAGATTTACACAAAATTATTTAATCTTCACATTAATCCCTTTTTTTTTTTTTTTTTTGCAGAAATGGGGATTGAACTCAGGTCCTTGTACTTGCCAGGCAAGCGCTTCTTCTACTGAGCCATCTCCCCGGCCCCTACATCAATCCTAATGATTACATCCCCATTTAATGGGTAAGTAACCTGAGGCATAGAAAAGTTGAATAAGCTGCTTGGGGCAAAGGTAGGATGGATTTATTTATTTATTTATTTATTTTGGTGGAACTGGGGATTGAACTCGCCCTTGTGCTTGCTAGGGAAGTGCTTATTCCACTGAGCCATCTCCCTGGCCCCAAAGGTAGGATTTAAACCCAGAATCCACATACTGCTGGGCAGCGTGGTGCACACCTGCAATGTCAGCTATTCAGGCAGCTCAGGAGGGTGGAAAAGTTCCAGGGCAGCCTGGACAACCGAGTAAAATTAAGCTTCAAAGGATCAGAAGAAGTCGCTCAGCACTCAGTCCCTACCTCTCACACGTAGAACCCAAACCAAACCAAATGGCCGCCAACAGACAACAACAAAACACCCCAGAACCTGTGCACTTCACTACTACCCAGTCCTGGCAGCACAAATAAAACACAACACCAACTTGTTAACATATGTTCATGCAAAAGTAACTAATGTTTTAAGTAGTGCCACTATTATTTTTTTTTAATAGAAAAATGACGAGAAACTTCCAGACGGGCTTTTACAAGAATTTTATATACAGACAACTTAAGAGTATACACTTAACCAATGAGTGGTGGGCGCCTTGTCCCTTGCCTCCTCCCAAGTGGCACTGCAAGTCACAGAAGCAGGACCAGGACGCAGCCTGCCCCAGGACGGTGGCCCTCACCACTCATCTTTGCGATCGGTCCTGGCAGCATCCACCAGCTCAGCTGCCGCTCCCATCCCCCGCCTGCACCGCTGTGACCAGGCTGGGGGTGCAGCCTGCTGGAGAGCTGACCTCCCACTGCCCTTGAAGGTGCAGGAGCCAGGAGCGGTTCACCATCTTGAAGGCACAGAGCCGGCCAGAAGACGAGACAGTGCTCCTGTCCTGGGCGACCCCTACCAGCTGAGCCTGCTGCTCTCCAGAAAGGCAGTGATGCACTGAGCCCTGCCCAGGGGACACACGGTCTCTGAGGGGCACGTGCCCTTGCCATATGTTTTTTCTTGGCCCCAGCCAACAGTCAGCTACTTGCTTGCTTTCTTCCTTTGTTTGGGTAATGAATTCAGGATGTTGCAATTGCCAGGCAAGGGATATGGCGCTGAGCAATATCTCCAGCCCCTTCCTTCTTTTTTTTTTTTTCCCCCTTCCTTCTTTTTTTGAGACAAGGGCTTGCTAAGTAGTTCAGGCTGGCCTTGAACTCCTAGGGCCATGGGTGGTGCTGCATGCCTGTAATTCTGGCACTCAAGAGGCAGAGGCAGGAGGATCTCCACCAGCTGGAGGCCAGCTTGGGCCACACACAGGCAAGTTCAAGGCCAGCCTGCACTACCTTGTGAGATCCTGTCTTAAAAAACCAAAACCCAGTTCAGTGGTAGAACACTCACCTACCATGTATAGGGCCCTGGGCCCAAGCCCACCTCAAGGCGGGAAAAGGAGGAGCTGAAGCTAAATTTTAATACTGAGTTTCATATAGACTATTTCTAAATAATTTCCTCTTATTTCTAAATAATTTCCTCTTATTTCTAAATAATTTCCTCTTAAAATGGGAATACTCTTCACTTTTATTAAATATTTAGAAAGTCAACAATAGGCAAAGTCAAATGATTGTACTGAAAACACATTGCTAAGTTTATACATCTTAAAATGTAGGTTCTAATTTTTCACTTGAATTAGACACAAAAATAGAATGTGTATATATACACTCTAATTTGTTACCTGATACATTTCTTTTCCAAAAAGGTAATCCCAAACTTGTCGTTGAACGTCCCAATTCACCAAGTAGCCCTAAAAAGAAACTTTAATAAAATTAATTATCAATAATATTA